CACATAATAAACACCATACTTCTAAAATAGGGTGGTGTACGGCACCGGTACCGGTAGGCAGGATGAGTAGCCAACACCCGTGGGGGTGCCCAAACAAACTTTAACCTGACAGCCCCGTCGTCGCCACCCACACCCACACCCCACACACTCACACTCCCCTTCACGGGGGATTGTCTGATCAGATTTAGGATCTGACAGTGTTAGATTTTCCTTCCTTCCTTGCCGGTTGCTTGCGGTACTGTATGAGTACCATACGATAGTGGCGATTTGATGGTTGACTGGCTCGGGTGGGGGATTTGTCTCCTGCCCTGCTCATCTCTTGTTCCGGTTGCTTCTCTCATCGAACGGAAGTACATGCCATCTGGACAAGGCAGATGATGATGGAGAAAAAATGGTATGATTGTGGCGATGAGATAAATGTTGTGCTGTAACCCTTCTTCTCAATCCGGAAGTGGGCTGTTGGGACTGCTCGTACCCGCACTTGTAAATAGCAAGTTAGGTGGGTGGACACTTCTTGCTCGGATGGTCGAGACTCGGGGGCGGTTGTCGCTCGCCCGTTTTCCGGATCCTGGCTTAGGGTGGGCTTTTTCTCGTCGCGGCGCCCGGCATTCTGCGTGATTGTCACGATTTCTTTCTTTGAGCTACCGTGCCGGCGGGCGGCGTCTCTCGGCATTCAGCGCTGTGCTTAACTTCCCGGCACCGGTACGTACCATGCCAAGTACTGCGACGCGGGAAGACTTCTAGATCATCACCTCCGACAGCGGTAGGTCCCCATTAAAGTATATTAGAAGTACATATATCACATTCTATAGAATTTATAGTGGCGGTAATTCCCTCCATTCATCTCCAAAAGTCACACATTGCGCACCGTAAGCCTCACTCACTTGCGAGAGGTTGACGGGAAGAGATACGCAACCTATTTAACGAACGATGTACCCGCTGCGTCGGGTGGGGTCTCGCACAGCATTTTTCCCATCCTTCCCCTTCTTTTCCTTCCCTTCCTTCCTCAGATCAGTTTGACCGGTCGCTTAAGTCCCCCCCATGCACCCATCTTTTTTACATCCTTTTCTTTTCTTTTTTCTTTCCGGGTTATGCATTCCCAGTTCCTTCTGCAACGTTTTGTTGCGGGTGGTTGCCGAAAGGAAAAGAAAGGGAGGAAGGGGAAAATAAAATGAGAGCTATCATGTGTTTGGTATGTATATATCTGCATGTATGTATGTACGAATGTGTGTATGTAGTACGTATGTGTGTGTGTATGTATGCCGGGGTGGCCTGATCGTATAATCTCAGTATTATCTTGTCGTCTTGATCTTCTCGCCCCCTGCTCTCACGTATTCCTATGCTTATTTTTCCTAACATCGTTTCTGCCACCGGCATCATTGTCGGATGCTATGATAATGCTATGGCTGATGAAGAGGGTGGTGGTGATGATGCCAATGAGAGGGATTCATGGCTTAATTTTTTTTTAGCATGATACTCTCAGGTGTATTTTGTTACTTATTTCGTAATGTTGCACTTGGCTTCACTTCTTGTCACTCACCCCTTCGCGTTACCTTTTCTTCCTTCCTTCCTTGGTTGCCTTGTTTTTCCCAGTGATCCATATTCCTCGGAGTTATTATGGCAATAATAAGAATAAAAGTAATCAGGGATCAATCGGTCACCTACAATAGGTTATCCCATTATTTCCTTTTTTTCCCAATTATCACCGTGCTTCTCGCTGCAAGCGCTTGGTAGCTCGCCAAGAGCAAGAGCAAATATATCATGACAAAATGTAGATTTGAGATCAAATGCCTAGATTTTCTCACCTGCAAGTAGGATACGCACATCTCCCCTCTCTTCCCATACAACTTCGTCTCCACCATTCATCCCTCCCCTTCCTTCCTTCCTTCCTCCCTTCCTTCATTCCCATGCTCCCCCCGCCGCGATCGCCGCCTCCACTGTCAGGGAATACGGCAGTTCATTGGTTGGTGGGGGGGTTATGAAGGAGAAAGAGTGCAAATTTTTTTTTTCCTGTAGAGTCGTGAGGATAGAAGGAAGCAGTAGGAGAAGGAAAAGAAAAGAAAGAAAAGGGAGGGCACAAAGTAATTGGAGGGGGAAGAAGGGTTCCGCACTTGGTATTGTACTGGTTAGTCTATTCTCGAAGCAAAGCAACAGGCGGAGAAGGGGCGGAGAAGGGGGAAACAAGAGGAAGGGAGAGGGAGGATGGGAGGGGAGGGTAAGGGATTGAGTATAAATATTAACTCGTCAGGGGCTTTCCCAGCGTCCAACAGCGTTGCAACCTTTCCCCAGGGATAATCCCGCCAATGGGAGTGGCTGACGGGTCCAGCATGGCTGGCGAGGTGAGCGAAGGGACTGAGGTCGTCTTGCCGGTTATCTGAAATCTCGGATCTGGTGGGGGATCGGGATGGAACTTTGGCGCCTTCTGATTTGCGAAAAAGTGCTTTAGCGAGGAAAGTATTCGCGAGCGAGGCGCGATGGGATGTTCCGTGCGGCTGTTGGCTATTCTTCCTCCTTCTTCTTCACCATGATTTCTCCCTCCACGGCACGATAACCCTAACTCTATCCTTTTCGTTCCTGTTCCTTTCGCTGGCCCGGCTTGGTCTTTGCTCTGACACGCCTTGATTGCTGCTCCACCACACACACAACTACACACGGACACACCTTCTCCCCCCCAGCTCCGGTAGCCATCATGTTGGGGGATGGTGGAGGAGGGGGGGTGAAGGGTGGGGACAGATAGGGGAAAAAGCAATTATAATACCTTGGGTGGAATACAGTATTATTAAAAAATAGAATAACCTACATGCATACCGCACTTTATCGCCCATCCATCCGGACGATATGAGTTATCGTACAGCAAGCAGTCAAAAGCGTGGGCTTGTTCCTTGGTGCGTATCATAATCTAGTTAGCCTGCCTTCTCCTCACTTACCTTTTGTGTGACCCACCCTGTTTTCATTTTATTTTTATTAAATGTATCTGTATAGCCCCAGTACATCGAGTATTTTACTCTCGTACAAGATCTGATGTGAGCGATATTCCCACAAATGCTCATCATCTATCAAACTCCTGCACGATAGCTTGTTGGTTGGGCGATTTCGAATAACTTATTTAGCGACGGAAGACCACCACCAACAGATCTGTGGCGGCAGTGGTGGTGGTAGGTGGTTGAGCAACCCACCACGGCTCAATCATCCATTTTCTACCAATAAATAAATAACATTGCATCGGAGAGGAAAAAAAAGAGAGAGAGAGAGAGAGAGGTGGTTGTGATACAAGTACTAGTAGTTTCCTACGACTTGGTTTACCGTCAGCCCTTTTCCTGCTCGTGGGATGGATACTTGTACTCGAGTATCATACTTACTACGCACGGTGGCTGCCACCTGTTATAGCAAACCCTGAACGTCGCTGAAGCTGGAGAGTTGCGCAAGGAAGAACCGAAATGGGGCATTGAAACGAATAGAAGAAATAAAGGAAGAAAACGGGCGCTTTTTGTGCCCGCGAAGGTGTTATCAAAGACCGGAAGTACTATAGTTGCATATAGCATCACAAATGTCACAACTCGCTTCGCAATAGTCTGGAAGAAAAAAAAGGAAAAAGGGGCGGGGCGGAAGAGGGAAGAGAGGGGAAAAAAAAAACACGATAAGAAAAAAGGTTAAAATAGCGGTTCACCAACTTTAGAGTGAGGTGAGTTGGGCTAGCAGTGAAAGCGTGAGGTTAGGAGCTAAGTTTGCTCAACATGTGTCTCAATCATCCAACCAAATCTTTTCCCCCCTTACTCGAGCACTGGTACTGTGCCAGTGCTCAAGTACCGGTAATGTACCAGCGCTCTCCAACAGACTGAGAGACAGAACAAGACAAGACAAGATGGGCCCTCATTTTCAGAAGGAAGCGGTTCAGAAATTGCTTTTTTACCCGGTCGGGCATCGCCATGCTGTTCTCCCCCTCTGTCCTGGTCTCACTCACTCACTCACTAGCTAACTCATACCTCCCCCAGCCACCACCTCTTCCCCCGAAAAAGCGCATTGACAACAAGAATGGCTCACCAATTTCCTGGGTTTCGCGTGGCCAGATGTGATAGAAGCTTCGATAGAAAGGGAAACTCAAGATCTGGACTTGTACCGGTCGGTTCATCCGTGTCTGGCTGGTCTGGTTAAACAACGATGGAAAGAAAACTACCGCAGGGACACCCTTTTTCCATCATGGCGAGAATATCGAAAAATGTTTCTGCTCGTTCGGGCATTTCTGGGTAGAATACCGTACCAATTAATTCTTCCTGGCGAATTTTTATATTTTATTTTATATTTTATTTTTCTCCATTTCTTACGGTAATTGTTATGTGCAGTACAGTGCGTCGCAGATTTGCCGAAATACCCTTTTTTCTTCTTTTCTCTCCCCTTCTTTCCTTCCTTCCTTTCTCACAGTCGCTTGTAACCAGTTTTCACAATGAAGAGAGAGATCGGGGAGGCGGAGGTACGATACCGGTATGACAATTTACAGCGCAGGGAAAGGGAGAAATCTCAGTTGTCGTGTTCATTAGTTGTCGTCCCAAAACACACCTTGACTTAGATGTTACCGACTGTCACTGCCACTGCCGCTCATGGCACATTATTACCAAAAGTGCCATATGGGAAGGCTTACCTGATGCCACATGGATATCAGATTAGGGAGAGGTCGACAACCATCACAACACCAAAAAAACAACAAAGGGAGATGTCAGATGTAGGGTAGGTATGGTACGGGAGTGTCAAAAAAAAAAACCCCCCTTTATCACGTTGATGTGTGATAGAGGAAGAAAAAAATGGGAAGGAGGAAATAACAACAATAATTATTATAATAATAATAATATTATTTACATTAAATTTCGTATAAACAGGTATCGGATTGGTACGGTAAAGGCTCTTATTCCATTTCATTGACCACCCCCTCCGCTCCACTAAAAAGGAAATAAGAGGAAATAAAAAATCGGTCCAGATCCAGCCCTCTTTTCTGTTTCTCTCTTCCAGAGATTTCCGGTATTCCTGTCACTGCGCATGGCAATGCCCCTCTAATCTGTATTACTCGAGGACATCCTTTTTTCTCGTCCGCGCTGTTTGTCTCACAATTTGACGCACTTGAGATCCAGCTGAATGGTAAGTTGGGGTCCAATGTGGATGGGGACTCGGAAGGGATTGCATATGCGCATCTGCTCTTGGTCCATTCCCGACGGGTCGTCTTCGTCCTGTTTCTGCTGCGATTCCCTTCTCCATCAAGGGCCATTGGCTGACTCCCCTCGCGCGTTCCTCGAGTACCGTATCCAAGTTCGTTCGGTGTCTCTTTCTGTTCTTTCCGTCTTTTCTTTTTCTTCCCTTCTTTCTTTTTCCTTCTTTTCTTCTCCTTGGTTGCCCCCATCTTATCCATCCCCCCATCCGCAACTGCATTTTATCTGGCCGCCGTCATGGCGCGCGCGGTGCGCGCACTGCTGCTAGTAACTGCTGCTTCTGTTGCTGCACACTGGTCAGGTTTTTTCTTTTATTTTTCTTTGTTGATATACCGCTGTGATGGGGGTGGATGATGATGCTGTTGCTACTGCTGGTGATGGAGTGCGGTCCGGTAGCCCATCTTAACTAACTCGAGTTGGAGGAGGAATGGGCGATGGTGAGAGAGGAATTGTATGTAAGTGAAGGGAGGGGTGAGGCGAAGACGGGGATGGTCGTGAAGAGGGGGATGGTCCAATCCCATTTGATTTGTATGTTTTTTTCTTCCTCCCCTCTTATTCTGCCCATTTTGATATTTATCTTCGTAGTCTGCCCTTCTTTCTTTCTCAATGTAGTGTAATCTTTTGCATGTTTGATTTATTTTTGTGTAGCTCGATTCGAGCAGAGAGGGTGGCTGGAATGTCGTCTGCATGCTGCGAGGCCCGAGAGAAGAACCCCATGATCCGTCGATACGGTCCCGTAGTTGCTTACATCCTGGTCGGTCCTGCCAATCCCTTCCGCCATATTTGTGAAGCTCTTTAGTCTCTTTGCGTGAGATCGGCGCAACAGGAATTAGAGTAGTTACCGGGCCTGGCACACAGACCGACACAGACACCCATACTCCCCCCATACACCGCACCGCACACACTTCTCTCACTCCCCAATTCTCCCTAACTTACTCACACACACCACGCTTTTCGTTACGCCTTAACTGTGGAGTAACCTAGTATACTCACTCACACCTCACAACACTCCTTCCACGCACCCACACATAACACCACATACACAGATAGATTTTCTTGCCCACCGGTACTGTAAGAATTGGCCCGACAGGGACTGGGTGATGAATTGCAAAGGCAATCGTCGATGTAAACCCGTTTGATCCCGTTCATCGTTTTCCCTCTCCAGTCCCTTGTTCCCTGGCCTGTTCCTTTCCTTTCCTTTCCTTTCTTTTTTGGCGTACCGTATGCCATGGCCATGATAGGATGTATCGTAGCCATGTACCGCAAGCTCTGTACCATTTCCGTAGAAGTGTCACTAGTAGCGCAGTGGGGTTATGATACTGTAGACTTCATTCGTAGTCTACCATAGTGCCCGGCCTGTTCTGTTCTGTCTAGTCTTGTTTTGTCTCTCTGGTGGTGACAGGCTCTCTCGCGCTCTCTCTCTCTCTCTCTTGCTTTTTTCTTTCCTTTTTTTCCCTTTTCTTTTCTTTTCTTTCCCTTCCTAGTCTCTTGCAAGTGTGTTCCGTCCGGGTCTTCCGTTTTACTTTATTATTATTATTATTATTATTTTGGCAGGAAGGACTATTTCTTTCCTTTTTTCCCTCTATTTCTCTTTTCCTCGATTTTTGGGTTTCCCTTCTTTTTTCATTGGTAAATCATTGCTTTTTCTCGCCATTTTTCTTCCCTTTTCCTTCCCTTTTCCTTTTTCTCTATATTCTTCTCTGGGGTGGGCCTAGTGTATCGATCTGAAGATCTGTCTGCCTGTGTTCGTTCGTCACTCCCTCGCACCCTCACTCATCCCACCCATTTTTTTTTTTTTCCCTCTTCCTTATTCCTCTTTCTTGGGATCATACATCCCCCTGCTACTGTGGCTGCTGCTTCTTGAGGTGGGAAAAAGGGAAGGAAAAAGAAAGAAGGTGGTGCTTCTTGTGCTTCTTGTGCTTGCTTGCTTTGCTTTCTGCTGCTTTGCCTCTGCGTCTGCTTTTTGTTCCATTTTTCACCTCTTCTGAATCTCTCACTCACTCACTCACTAACTCACGGACTTACTCTCACTCACCTTTTCTCTTCCTCCTCTTCGGTTTTCTTTCTTTCTACCGGTATCATATCTGTCTGTCCATCTGTCTGTCTCCCTTGCCCTGTGCCCACCTTGCATTAGCTACTTTGCTATTCACCCCCCCCTCTCCCTCTTCTCCCATACCCCCCGTTAGTTCTCAATCTGCTGCCGCTTCTCGTTGCTGGAGTCGGGGTCGTAATACCCAGCAACCGCAGGCTCCTCATCTGATGGTTTTATTGTGTGCACACCAGTGACCATTAACGGCAACCAAGAAACCCACCGTCATCTCGATCTAATAATCCCAGCCCATCCGCTTCCATTCATTGTTCTCCACTGTCCATCTACCACTGCTGCTGCCACTTTTGTTGCTTTGCCTGCTGCTACTCCTGCTGCTCCCTTCCTGCTGCCAGCTACTTCCCTCCTCGTCCGCCTGCCAGCCAGCCTTCCGTTCCCGGTTGTCTATATTCGCCGCCTGTTGGCCCACTCGCCTCTCTTTCGCCTTAGCTACTTGTAACTGAGTGGGAAGACCGACGAGAGAAGAAGAAAAAAGTTCATCAGTCACCCACTTCCAGCTTCTGAGAACCTTGAAGACCGGTGTCTGCCAGATCGATCCGCTCCTTCTTAGTTGCGAGATTCAACCCACCTACTACTATTACAACCACAAAGCCACGCGAGGAAAAAAAAAAAACAACACCGTCTGGTTATCATATTCATATGACCGTCAGCTGGCCTTTCTCCTGGAGTACATAGGCTCAAGTGAGTTTTTCGGAGTTACAGTAATCAACCGCTTCCCCGGGTTCGCCCTTTTTTATCCTTCTGTCTATCTCGCACTCTGTTTCGTTTTCTGTCTGTCGCCGCAGGTAAGCTTGTTCAGCCAATCCGGCCCTCGTCTGTACTATGTCGTTGTTATGTTGGGTGGACTTTATTGCCTTCTTTCTCTGACTAGAGGAAGTTGAAGGGGGGAAATAAAATAAGATCTAGTTGCTCAGACTAGATTTGTAGCGGGTGTCTCTTTCTTCCTAGTGCTGAAGTCTAATTTACAAGTTTATAGATTGCATCATTTCGTCTGCCGATAACCTTTGAGCTACACATTTAAGGCTGAGGTGCTCATCTGCTGAAAGCTTTGTGCCGGCCAGGGGCTCGCGGTGGTATTCGACTCCAATTCCCGTAGTGGATTTAATCTTCAGTCTTTCACCATAACTCCCTCCGCGGTCTTGTTGTCACCTCCTTTGTCTCCCGCCGCAGGCATGGAGTCATCGGACAGTAGGAGGCAGAGGTATGCGCGAAGTGCAGCTTTTACTTTTTGTTCCTTACAGCCGTTGCCGCAAGCAATAAGATGAGGTCTAACTTTAATTCTTACAGCGACACTTTGCCGTCAATGAGCTATATGGAATTCGAGAGATCGGCGAGAGAAGCGGCTCAATTCCATCAGCGACATCCATCTATTGCCCGTACGAGTATTTCAACAGCCTCACCAATCAGTCCCACGACATTACTTGCGCCCCCGGCCCAGTCACTTCCGTTCCCGTCGTCGTCTTCGGCCATTAGCACGAATGGGTACCTATCACCGCCGGATTCCCGACGGACTTCGGGAAATGAGGATGGAAGGCAATCTTTGCCTTCGTTACAGGAAGCGCTATTTGACAGACTAGATAAACCATTCACAACGCCCTCGCCCATGCAGACACCCCCACTCGGCCAGGGTTCCTTTTCCGGTCTCCGGGATGCCATTTGCGGAAAAGGGGGTGTAGGCGAG